TTAATTATTGATTAGTTAGATTGAAATCTCATAAATTTCACAATACCAGGTCATCCGATTCGATACTTGTATGAAACATTTCAGTACACTTTTTCAGCCTTTGTAGAAACTTGTCTTCTCCTGTTATTATTATTATGATTTGTACCTTGGGTTCTTAGTGGAACATACAGCTTCAGTAACACGTTGCCATTCCAATCTCTTCTCTGCAGTCTTTTTCATTCCTTCCTCTCACGATCTCCTCCATTTCACCCTTGGACACCCAACTCATCGTTTCCCATTTGGGTTCCACTCAAGGACCTGGTCTTTCGCGTGATGTCTCCAAATGGTTTTCTCAGTGTATACCCAATCCATCTCCACTTCCTTCTGCATATTTGTTCAGCGATAGATTCATGGTTGCTTCGTCGTAGGGCAAGCCAGAGTTCCTTGTTGCTTATTCTTTCTGGCCATCTGATCTTTAGTATCGAGTGAGCATAGGCAGCTGATGAGGTATGTCTGTAGTTTGTTGTAAACGCACCAGGTTTCTGAACCATCACATAGAAGCACTGACTTGACTGATATTAGCGTTGAAAATCGGCATGTTGTCCACGCTCTATGCCGAGTGGAGTGCAGTGCAGTGCAGTCGATCTCCATACTGATTTCAGAGTAATGCAGGAAGGCCTGTATTGCCGTCTTTCCGATCCTGGCTGCTTTGACATAGTCATCTGTGCCTGTGCCGCCTGCATTTGAAACGATACTGTCTAAAAAGGTAGGTAGCCAGGTGAAAGAGACAACTTCCTTTGGTTTACTCCCGTTGATGATGACTGGTGCTTGTTGTTGGTGGTGGTGGTTGGGTATCTTCATCAACTCTGTCTTCTCTGCATTCACCTGAAAGAAGTCCCTTCTTCGCTGCCCTGCCTCACTTCTTCTGTCAACTTGTTCGTTTTCGCCTGTAGATCATCAAGTCTTTACGACTAGACATTAAACATAAGTCATCCACATTGGCGAAATCCAAATCTTCTAAGGTGTTTTCATCGGTCCAACGTATAGCCGTAACTAGCTAGCTAGCTAGCTTTCCCTCACCATCTTTCATTGGTTTCATCTGTGCTGTGTTGGTCTCTACCCTCCCAGATAGTAACCTGGTTATTTGATATAGTGTTGTCAGGTCTCTGTCTTCTCTTACCTGCAGCCTGTTCTGTTTGACTTGCCAGTGTGTCGTGGAAGTATCTTTTGTCTTTTTGCACACTCTCCTCTACTTCTTTGTCAGTGTAGCTTTTTATAGGTTGTGTTCAGTTCCTCTTTTCGTTGTTCATCCCTGCACTGCACTACACTGCACTGGTTCATCTTCTGCTTCATCATCTTACTCTTCTCTATTCTCTTCTATCAGCTTCCATGTGTCCATCGAGATCCATTCTTAAATACCACTGCATATCACAGGAATTATTTTACACCTGTATTGAGACCAGTTAATGTGGGTAAAGAAGCACATTGGATGGTTGGTAGTCATTCTTCTATAGAAAAATGGGACCAGGCTCTAATGCACAACGTTCGGAGTAGCCGAGTCTTATATCTCCACTAAGAGATAAAAGGCAACAAGGTTGAATACAAAACAATGAAAATTGCATGATAAAATCTCTTCGAAGTCATGTTGTGATTAAGATGGAGATGAGTCATGGTCTGTCTGTCTTGTTACTATCGTTGCACAACCAAATCATCTACAGTCCAGGCATTACTGCGTAACAGTCCGAATCGCCACACCTCATATCGCTACATGAAGTAGAAAGGTAGTGAGGTGAAGGATGAAGATAAGAGAATGCAGTCAAAAGAAATATAAAGTACGAGAAGAAAGAAAGGAAGAATGACAAAATGGTGAGATTCAGTATAGCGTCGTTAAGATGGTAATGTGTGTGGGGATACATCTCGTTAAGATGAGGATAATGTGTGTATACATCTGCGCCACTGACATCGGTCAGTGGTTCCACTGGTTCCTCTTGTCCCCCCACCGACCCCAACCATCTAGTCTGCATCAACCTACATGGCTCAAACCAACAGTTAGAGACTTCATACATTGGTGCCATGTTTTAGTCTGGCCACCTCTGGCCTTTTTCCAGGCTCGGCCTACTTCGGTCAACATTGTGTGACAAAGCAATCGGTGACTCGGCACACGTAGTAAGTGTCCCAACCATCTCAATCGATGAAGGTTCATAACCTCGTCAACTGATTTACCTATACTCCCTAAAATTCTACTCGTGACTTCTGCACTACTCACGTGGTGACATCATGGAATACGTCCTATACTACGAAAGTAACGGTGGTCAAACACTTGAAGCCTTCTTATATCCTCCACTTTCAATGGCCATGTTTCACAGCCATACAGTAGAAGAGAGCGGACTGCTGTGCAGTATACACGACCCTTGATAGACAAACGGATATCAGGGTGGCGCCATAGGTGGCATAAGTTGGCAAAAAACCAGTCGAGCCTTTTGTATCCGTGTAGAGATATCATCGGCAACCGACCCACCAGGGTTGATCCTACTTCCGATGTAAGTGAAGTGGTCATCACACTCGATCACTTCACTCTCTATTGTTAACCGCGGTACCGCTGAAGACCAGTCCTGGAGCAAAATTTGCATTCGGATGAGCACCAGGCTTATTACTATGTATGTGTATGTATGCGTATATGAATACGTGTAAATAGTTCCTATCCAATTGATTCAGTATGACATGTTGAAAATTTGGACCACAGCCGGATTCGAACCAGTGACCACCGGATTTCCTGCCCTATGCTCCACCAAGTGAGCTAAGAGATCCGACTGCTAACCAGATTTTTAGTTCAATTTACTCACAAAGGGTTTTGCCCGACTACCATGTGAATTCGTTATGGGTTACTACTGCTTGATCGTATTCATACTGGCTGCCTAGTCAGGACTTCTCGCCCCAATCCAAATCTATCTGAATTAGAGGGGGAGGGGGGAGCATCATATTGACTGACATTTTGACTATTTGAGATAGCAGTGGTTTGGCAGACTTGCAGTATTTATACTGGGTAATAATTGAAGGTGAAATCAACATTTGGACAGTAGACGAATTCGAACCAGTGACCACCGGGTCTCCGGCTAACGAATTCATAAGGTAGTCAGGCGAAACCCTTGATGATTGAAGTAAAATAAAAATCTGGTCAGCAGTCAGACCTCGTAGCTCAGTTGATAGAGGATCGGATCGGTGATCGCTGGTTCGAATACTGCAGTGGTCCAGATTTCCATTTCACCTTCAATTATCACCCAATATAAATGCCAGTCTGACAAGCCACGGCTCTCTCAGATAGTCAAAATGACCATGATTATTATGATTATTAGGGGACTATTTCACATTAACTAAAATATGTAAAGCAACAATACTTATGATTGTTTCATTCTCAAATCTATCAAAGCACTAAATAATATCCACATTTATGATGCAACAATGACCAGATGAGAATTTTAAACAATAATGACAACTATCGATGTGTCTGTCACACGCTGTCAAGTTATTTTGCTAGGACTGCTTGTTTGGATTCATGAAGAGTCACCTCCTGATAAAGTGTTTACTTTTATGTAATATGAAGTCCTATCAAAGTAGCTTGTCCTAGAACAGTAAAATTATAGCGGCAATTATGAAAATTTATTCAATCTTGAAAGCCATTTATCAAATAATAGTGTACTATGTATTGCTTCAGAATATTTCGATAGTTGTAATTTGAAAGCTATTTTAGTGAACACAGAATATTCTTATTGATGACTTCTTCATATCTTGTAGTTACATGTAGATGTTGAGGAAACATTTGTCAACAATATTTAGATTTCATGTGACAGTTTGTTAATAAATGTTAGTCAGTTGGAGGCAATTGATAAGAAGCCCTGGATCCAGGTTTCGTGCTTTTTGGCACTCATCAGCAAGGCGTATCTGCAACATCGATGGAATGATGTCCTGCCTGAATCTCGAATCTCAGACAGGACATCAATTCCATCGAGGTTGCAGATACGCCTTGATGATGAGTGCTAAAAAGCACGAGACCTGGGTCCAGGGCTTCCTATCGATTGCCTCTAACCAACTAACATCCACTAATGTGCACGGTGATGCTAAGCTTCCTAGCTTGGTTTCCACATTGTAAATATGATTGATAGAATTCGGTTTACACTCAGGATTAGACAACATGAAATTGGTTGCACTCCCGTGACCAATCAATACAGATAACTGATTACTTTGAATTGAATGCCAGTAACACTTAAATATATATATAAGACGTTTCTGAAGTTGACTTCCTTCACTGTATGATATTATTCACAGTCTGATCAAGCGGAATCTCTATTTCCCTGATGCATACGCATATAACTCTAGGACCTAAAGAATAAGTTATCGAATGGTTTTTGAATTGTAATAGGAATTTTTAGTGAGTTGCTAAATGATGACTAGCAGTAGAATCCATGATGTTTGTTTCATCTCACTTAGGACTCGTCGGCTGAATGTACCTACATTTTAGTTGGTATGAAATGAATAGTTTGATTTACATATAGTCAACAAAAAGGTGTATTTATACTAATGAATATCTTGAGTGGTAATTAGAAACAATCACTCAGACTGGTCTGTAGATCACACCAGCCAAACAGATCACAGTAATCTAAATACTGGAGGCGAACGGGGTGGATGGATGGGAGCTGAACTGATTCCTCATTGGTGTACCAGAACAAAGTAAGCTGACATCGGTGAAATGTTCAAATCACATGAATCTGGCTAGCTGACTTTCATAGACCTGTATACCTTAAAGAGGATGATCAATTTACAAATTCCATGGTGTATTGTGACATTTTGCATCATAGTTGAGTAGTTTCTTAACTGTCTGTGATGTTGACAGGAATAACAACTCATTTCTGTTCGGATAATAGTGCTTAGTTTTTTTTAAGCATATCAAGCTTTTGAGTATATGAAAATGCCTTGATAACTTCCAATAGTCTGATAATTTTATTGTTATACATTATATTACTCAGCTTGTTGCTCATGATCCAGACAGTACTTCTCAACTAACATATACAATGGCTTCTTCATTAGAGTATCATGTGATGTCGAGTACATTTCATATTGAAACTGATGGACATATAAGATTACATAGTAGTTTGGACTATGAATTACGTCATGTATATTCAATACCAATTGAAGTAACTGATGGTGAATTTTCTGCACGTACCACATTAAATGTTCAAGTAGTCGATGTAAATGATGAACCTCCAGCATTTGAATTAAATCCAAAGCAATTAATTGCTGATGAAAACGCTTCACCAGGCAAATTGATTGGACGTGTAAGTCTGTTACCTATCAATTTAGTTATGCATAATTCTTTTAGTATCAAAATGTATCGTTTGTTTGGAATGATATATTTGAATGATTAGAACTGTATTCTGAAGATTTATGACTTTCTGAAATATCCTTGATTGATAAATTGATCTTACTCTACGACCAACTCACTTGCGGTTCCACCAGTAGTCACGAGTGTTGTGTTGACCACATTTGTCGTCTGTCCAGATGCTGTTGACGAGCTGCTACTCGGTGTTAGTGTGGACAATTGCCTTGCATGTGGTGTTGACTCACTGGTGTCCAGACCTGTTCAATGAAAAATAGGTATAGGTGAAGTGAGTTCAAGTTAGTCGACGTGCTGCAAGCAATCATCAATTCTGCTTTGCTTCACAGTCTGTGCACGCATACACTGAACACGGTCAATCGATGCGCGGATGAAATGCGTGTCAAGTGATCGTGGAAATAATGGTGTCGTCTCACCATCAATGCTGCATGACACACTGGAAGTAAAGAAAAGCCCATACACTGAATCACAAACTCAATGTCACACACCAGCACACCACCACGCACAAACACACAAATGCGAGGTGTTCAACACCCGATATTCTTGATCTCCTGAATATCGAGGCATGTGCTTGCTTGTCGACATTGCTATGCTTCAGGTGATGAATTATTGCGTTGTGCAAGACAGACAGACGAAACAGATGTCCGGTGTTGTCAGATTTTGAAGATTTCTCTAACTGAAGTCAACCGGTGATGACTACTACCCTGAAATAGGATTTTAGTGAGCAGATGAAATGTGTCCAACATCTTAAGAGATTGAATTGACTTAAATATTACAAAGTCACCAGAAGGACTGTCACCCCAACTAACTATACAGGTAGATCTAATCATTGAAAGAAACTTTGAGAAGGCATCTGTTCCAGAATTGTCTTCAACTACTGTCAACTGTTAGCTTAGCAAAACAAATTCATTCTGAGAACTTACTTCTCTCACGCGTTCAATATTATAATAACCTATATCCGATTTCACTTTTTGCCCTTTCGTTATAGGTAAGAATCCGTGACCCTGATAGTCCTAGTGTAAATGGTCTTGTGGAATGTTCAGAGCCACCAGGATTGATTCGTCGTCAGGCACTTCAATTTCTACCTGATCCAACCGTTAATCCTACAGCACAAGTTTATGATTTAACTACTCGAATTAAACTTGATAGAGAAGATCCTGAAAATCCTATACCAGGTCATTTAATTGTCTATTTGATTTGTTCAGATGGTGCTCCAAATACTGGTGAAATAATATCGCATACTGCCTACAATGGGGTTCGACTGACGTCAACTATGACAGCAACTTTAACTATAAAAGACGTAAATGATCATAAACCAGTTTTTGAAAAATCTATTTATGATGTATCAATTCAAGAAAATAATCCTATTGGCGAAAAAGTTGTTCAAGTAAGTTAGTAAAGGTAATTTGTCAGATACTGTAACAAGGGGGAACTCGATACCTCCCCCCCCCCGAGAGATCGTTATAAAGTGAAATTGAAACACTAGTCCCTTTTGCATGGGTGTACACACAATTGTTGATATATTGTATTGATTAAAAGTGAAGTGAACATCTCGGTCACCGCATGGTTTGATCCAGCGGATTCCAGATCACCGATATGATGCTCTAGAAGCTGAGCTACAATACCTATCTATTGACTTCACTGTTCTGTACAAGCTCTTTCATTTCACCTTCAGTCTTAACACCATTTCAATGAAGTCACTCTTACAAACCATGACCATTGTAGATAGTCCCAACAATAGAAGGAATCGCTTGTTTCACTGACATCTAGGTTCTCTTCAACTGAAAATGAATACTTATTGAAGGGGATTCAGAAAAACCTTGAAAAAACCCACTACATAATCGAAACTGGGAAATTCATAGTAAAGATTTCTTTTGAACGAATTCACTAGAAGACTGTACAGTAATGTACCGGATGGTTAGAAGTATAATATAGACAGTCAACAAGCCGGTGGTTTTTGTTTGTTCAAGATTGTTGACAACGTATACCATTGGCACGAGAAAATATATACTTATGCCTACAGTCTAAGGATTGATCATATACATGTATCCTGCACATACCGATTGGTTCGGTCATAACTTGCTCACTGCGAAACTTGAATGTCCAAGGTTCGACCTCTTGAGCGATTATGAATGCACACTGCTACTAGAACAAAAGAGCTCCTTAGTGCCCCAAGTTCTTCAACTGATATCAGTCTGTGATGAATACCAAGACGAAATCAATCAATACTTATGAACCTCAGGAAATATCAATACTGATAAAAGTGTATCCATTTAATTTTGTGACATAGTGAAAAGATCATGTCCCTTGGTTTCCTAATGGAACATACGGTTTCAGTAGTATGTCTCCAGTGTACTCTATTCTCAGCAATCTTTTCAACCTGGCTCCAAGACAACCCATAAGCTGTCATTTCTTCCTCACACCATCTCCTCTATGTCACAGTCACCTCAGACGACCAACTCGTCGTTTCTCATCTGGGTTCCACTCGACTGCCTGGAGCATGATGTCTCCAAATGGTCATAGATAAATATTTATCTTCACATCTTCTATATTTGACCTCAAACTTTATGGTTTCCTATTCAAATGCCGACAAATTCTTTTTGAAGCAAGTCATCGAAGATTCTTTCATGATTCTTCGATGTTCAGTGCTAAGAAGTACTAGTGTTCATGAAACTTTCATAATAAAGACCATATAAATCATTGATTGAATCTACTCAAAATAGTTGAACAGTTGGGTAAACTCAATTATTGTGATTTGGAGACAGTAATCGAGTTATGATTCAATAGTTTATAGAGTTGACTATTAGTCAATAGGTAATGATTTCGAACGCCTTTTCATCTATTGAAATTTTGATAGTCAGTATGGCTTATTGCCTATCTCATAAATGTGTACAACATAACTGAATAGATTTCGATTCTAATTGAAGAATTTTTTTGTTAAGATTTTTGGTTCATATAATATAGTCAATTTGTGTTTTAATCATATAATTTACATTTATTAACTTTGTATATGAAGATTAAAGCTGAGGATTCAGATGAAGATGAAAATGCTAGAATTACTTATTCCTTATTGGATAGAGCCAATTTCAAAATAGATTCCTTGACAGGTTGGATTACTCCAAACCTTGTGTTTGATCGTGAAACACGGGATTCATATCAGGTAAATTATTATTAATATTATTATTACCATTATTATAATCTACTTGATTGTGGCTAATAGAAGAGATCAAGATACATCTTTCATTCTATTTGGGATTAGTCAGTTAGATGTACATATATCCCCAGTATATGATGTTGTTCCTATTGAGATTCAAACCTCGTACCTATCAATTCAAATGTCACTGAGGCATATTAGGCCACCTCTTGTACAATGTGTATTGGTTATACTTTTTTGTTGATGTACTTGTAATTCTCTGTTGTTTTGCTGAATTGAATTGTTACGACACCCGTTTAGCATATGAACTTCTATGTGGATGCCTCAATATAGTTTGAATATTTCTAATGATCATCTAATTGGTTTTGATTAACAGAAGAATTCAAGACGGTGAAATACAAGTACATTACCATTTCTACTAACAAGCTCAATATTTAGCCATACTTCGATAGTTTAGATGTATATCCGTATAGCCTGTTAAGCACCATCTTTGAATGGAATTCCTACTTACCCCACTTTGTTACTCATTATCTGATTGTAATTTTTTTATATTTATATTTATATTTATATTTCTACATTATTAATTGAATCTCAGTTATTCTTCAAGTTGATATTGGAAACCTGAGAGTGTTGGATAGCTGTTTCGTCTGAATAAGAAACTCCTCAGCAGTGTGCACCAATGATCCCACCCTCCAAGGATCAAACCTGGGATCTTCAGGTTCCGTGACCAGCACGTTACCATTACGCTATTAGGTTGAAATCCAGTGGTCCATATTTCTTACTCCTGTGGAGATTTATTGAATTCAAGTTGGAGAATTCTAACCTGAGATCAACTAATAAATACCTAAAAACCTCCAGATTGTATACCAGAATCTATTGTCTCATCATAACTGAAAAAGACAAGATGTATGACAGTGTAGAATCTTACTTGGTTGGAGGTGATTGCCAGGAAGCCCTGGACCTAGGTTTCCTGGTTGTTAGCACTCGTCAACAAGGCGTACCTCCAACCTCGACGAAACTATTTCCCCACCTAGGGTTCGAACCTGCGTCATCTAGTATTGTAATCAGCGACTTTTCCACTGAGCTATTCCGGTCGCGGCTGATACCCTGTAGGACTGGGTTATATATATTGATTGGTCACAGGAGTGCAACCATTTTCATATTGTCTAGTCCTGAGTGTAGATCGAATCCTGTCGATCATATTTCCACTGCGATGTTCAGCCTCCTAGCTTGGTGGCCCCATTAGAAATATGATCGGTAGGATTCAACCTACATTCAGGACTAGACAACATGGAACTGGTTACTCTCTCATGACTAATCAATAAATCTATAATCTGTAAGCTAACAGTTTCTTCCATATACTGGTACACATCTAGAAGGATAAGTTTATTAGTTTCGAGAACGGTACATAACTTATTCTTTGACGTAAATTGACTTCTAAAACTATAAAATATATTAACAGATAGAATGAAGAGGATAATTTATTGGTTGAACCATGCGTGATTGGTTTATACAGCGACTGGGTTACTGGTTTGCACACTGCTTCACCTATCGAACTTTGGACATAATAGATGTAACTCATTACCGCTTACCATACGAATGTATACAAGCTAACTGAGGTCACATTTTGACAACCTTTTAAATAAATACTATCTAATCAGAGGTAGTATTCATCATGGACTGACATCAGTTGGGGAACCACTGAAAGTTTGGGAGTGCTGGACAGCTGACTCGTCCTAGTATAGGATTCTTCATCAGTACGCACCCATCAGCTGGCTAATGCTTCCAGATTTTCAATGAATCCCTAAGTGATATTATTCAGTGATGAATTATTATTATTTGTCCCTTGGGTTCCTAGTGGAACATGGGGATTCAGTAGTACGTCTCCAGTGTACTCTCCTCTCTGCAGTCTTTTGAACCTGGTTCCATGACAGCTCACAAGCCCTCATTTCTTCCTCACATGGCCTCCTCCATGTCACCCTCATCTCGGACCATCAACTCGTCGTTTCCCTTTTGGGTTCCACTCGAGTGCCTCGCCTGGCACGTGATGTCCCCGGTCGGTCTTCTCAGTAAACGCCCAATCCAATGGATCTTCACTTCCTTCTGTATATTTATTGAGTGACAGGTTCTTGGTTGGTTCATTGCTAGCTAGCCAGAGTTCCTTGTTGCTTATTCTTCCTGGCCACCTGACCTTCAGTAACGAGCGTAGGCACTTGTTGATGAATATCTGTAATTTGTTGGAAATGCTTTTTGTGACGCGCCAAGTTTCTGAGCCATACAGAAGCACTGATTTCACTGAATTGGTGTTGAAAATCCGAATCTTGTTCAAGCTTTATGCTGACTGCAGACGATCTCCACACTGGTTTCAGGTTAAAGAACGCCTGTCTTGCTTTTCCGATCCTGATTACTTTGACGTCCTCGTCTATGCCACCGCCGCCTGTAGTTGAGACGATGCTGCCTGCCTAGGTAGGTGTAGATGAGACAGACTACTTCCTTTAGGTTTCTCCTGTTGATGGTGATTGGAGCTTGTTGTTGTTGTTGGTGGTGTTGGTTGGGTATCATCATCGCCTCTGTCTTCTCTACGTTCACTTGAGGCCCCATCTTCCTTGGTTGCCCTGCCTTTTCCGTCAACTTGTTAGTTATCGCCTGTAGATCTTCAAGTTTGTATGACATTAGGCATAAGTCACCGGCGAAATCCAAATCATCCAGGATCTTTTCCGCGGTCCAGCGTATATCCCTCTTCTCGCTCCTTACTGTTTGTTCTATGATCCAGTCGACCACAATCAGTGATGAATACTAATCCTATTCATCATCTATATGTACATGAAACATCCTGTGACACCTTAAGAATTATTACAAAGAAAAACATACTCAGTTGCTAGGTAGTTGGTTAATAAAATAACAAAATAAATTTGTTTGTTAACATTTTTATTTTTCAGTGTATGTAATAATCTTTACCTTATTTTTCTTTTCACACTATACTCTATACTTATAAAAATAGGAGAATATGAATGATAGATGACAATATATATATAAAGAATTACATCATCGTGTGAAATCGAATATGTGCTTCTTTTTTAATGCTTCACTATTCATCAAGAGGTACAATAAGTAATTCAGTTCATTGTTTACTTAAATAAAACAGTTGTTAGGTGAAGTGAATAGATAGATTGTTATCTTAAGGAAAAACAATTCATTCATTCATTCAGTGTAGATACTAATTGAAGTTTGTACAATCTGACTAATTTGTACTGGTAATGATTGAAAGTGAAATGGAAATCTGAACCATGACCGGATTGGAACCAGCTACCATCGGGTTACCGGCCTAGTGCTCTACCAATTGAGTTGCGAGGTCTGACTACTGACCACTTCAATCTGACTAATGTTTAATTTAGGTTGGAATTCTTTATAGTCTGATATTATTTAGAAGAACATTGGTAACCTGCGAACACTGATGGAAACGAGAAGACAGAGACGAAGGAAAGAATGTTTACTGAGGTACAAGTGGTACGGTAGTCGTTAAATATGGTACACCTTGCACTAAGACAGTCATTTGTATAATGTACTTCATTTCTTCTTCTACTTCCCCCTTCATTTACTCCTCATACGCCTGCCTTGTCTCTTGTGTTTCTCTGGGCAGAATCCTTATGCATTGTTGGTAATTTCCTATGATTTTTGCCACCCTCTCAACATATGCTACTTACATCCATTCTTATCAGCAACGCCTACTAGACTAGTGTGAGACTTCTCACCAGTGCTCACCCATGACCCCACTCTCCATTGACCGAACCCAGAACCTTCAGATTCTGTGGTCAGCATATTACCATTGATCCACTGGGTCGGGATCCTATGCTTCACATTTCCAACTTCTGTTAGTTCACCATATGACGTGACCTACATCCAATGCTGTTGTTGAATAACTGTCCTCATGTTCAACTTGTCTAAATTTCTTGGTTGTATTATGTTCTCTGAGCTGAGTTGTTTAATCGTGGATGCCATTAGCACTAACTTCATCCATCTAAGCTATAAATATCCTTTACCAATACCTAGTGTCGAATTTATCAGAATTATCCAAATGAAATCAGGATATAGGATCAAATTCACTCTTTTTTGTTTCCTACTCTGTCAGAAGATATCTGGCCAGAAAATGTCGAAGAACAGCCGATAGAATAACTTGTGTAACTCCATAAAGTTATATACACATTCAGAGATGATGTTGGAATTCATAAGAACATTTGCAGTATCAATCGTAGTTGAAATAACGACTTTTCAACTGACTACAATCCCTAGTGACTCGTTCGTATCCTACTGTAGAGTAAATTTTAATTTCACCATCAATCATCGTCAAGCATTGACTATACATCAGAACTGTAGTTTCCAAGAGAGATTAAAATGATCTGAACAATTCGGTTGTGTAATCAGATTTCATCCAGGTTCACCGTTGATGCTTAATCTACAAAAATCTCATATCATCCTTGACAATGTACAAATGCCTAGAACAATTTGACTGGAAGCAAAGTTGATTTACCATCCTATACAGTCAAAAAGTCAAGAAAGGCTGCATATTCTTTAACATCTGCCATAACGATCTAGAAATTGTTTGACCGAATCCGTTATAAGCCGAAAATAGAGCTTAGTTGAATTACAGACATTCATCAACGACTGCCTACGCTGGCTCACTCTTTACTGAAGATCAGATGGCCAGAAAGAATTAGCAACAAGGGATTCACTCTGGCTGGCAACGAACCAACGAAACAAGAACCTATCACTCAACAAATATGCACTGGAAGGAAGTGGAGATGGATTAAGCATACACTGAGAAGGCCGACTGGGGACATCACGCACTAGGCCAGGCCCTCAAGTGGAACCCAGATGGCAAGCGACGAGTTGGTCATCCAAGGCGAGGGTGACATGGAGGAGATCGTGCGAGGAGGAAACGAGAGCTACTAGGCTATCGTGGAGCCAGGTTAAAAAGATTGGAGAGAAGAGAGTACACTGGAGACGTACTACTGAAGCCCTATGTTCCATTAGGAACCCAAGGGATAAATAATGATAATAATAGAGCTTAGTTGGCAAGTAATTCCCTGAACTCTATGATAATAATAATAACAATAATAATTGTTGCTTAATTCCAACACAATATGTATGACAATATGGAATTCCAAGCATCTAAGTGTTCAATAATTTCCCTCCCAGAACAGTATCTGCATAATATCAATAAGATCAGTATTCAAGACAATAATGTGAAATAGCCAGCTGGTTTTGGATGGGCATCTGGTCTATAATGAAGAATCAACAGAAATGCAAGCATAATTTTGGTTGTGGTAGTTCATTTAAATGATTAAAATAAGTCGAAAGGAATGGAATTTGGTGAAAAATGTTTGAAGGATAAATTTGGTAGCCCAAGGTTTCAGCAAACCGCCGTGATGACGAATGATTTCTGTGATGAAAGTAACGCCTATTGAAGTGTAACATACATAAATAAACAAATGAAAGGCTTAAATATCTTTATCATATCTATTTTTGTCACAACAATCAACCCTATTTATTTATTTTAGGTTACCGCCATTGCAATGGATCAAGGTAAACCTCGTTTATCTACCTCTGTCTTGATCAATATAACTGTACTTGATGCAAATGATCATAGTCCTATTCTAGCATCATATGAGGCTGATGAAACTCTTTTACAAACAAATAATCTACCTATTGGACGTTTTGGTCCTAAAAATTTATTCATCGTACAAGAGAATATGCCAGCTAATACATGTCTTGGTAATGTATTGGCATTTGATAAAGATGAAGGATTGAATGCTGAACTCATGTTTAGTCTTCTTCAAGATCCAGTATTTCACTTCCATGAAAGGTTTAAACTTTCACCTGATGGTGTAATTTGCACAAATGTTGAGTTGGATAGGGAAGAGAAGGTTAGTTGAACATTGTTTGCGTTTAGTTTTTCGCAAACGTTTAATCTACTTATTTATTTGATAGTAGTATAAAACTACCAGAGTTAATTTTGATTTCCTTAATATCTTTGAAGTCGTGATCCCAATGAAAATTAACAGTACAAAGCATGTTCTTGACCATTACTAACAACTAAGTCTTAAACTAAGAATGGTAAAAGACACTTTATACACCGTATTTTATTTGAGCGGTCTAGGCGTATTATTTGATTTCAAGGAAGGACTCATCAGTAGCTGATATCAGTTACAGAACCACTGAAAAAATGAGAGTAATGGACAGTTGTTCCCTCCAAGTTTGCAACTCCTAAGTAGTAAATACCCCTGACTTTGTCCGAGATAGTACTCAGCATATCAAACCTCCAAGTGAGCACGTTAACTATTCAGTTACTGGAGTGAAATCCATTCAACTACGTTTTTCTAGTTCCGTGGATTTATGAAATGGTGCTACAATCAACCAGTCATATATGTGAGCATTTGTTTTCATGCCCGATTTAAATGATCAAACAGGTTACTACAGACTGTTAGAACTTCAGGAAGTATGTCTTGAAGCATGGTCACTTATAAGCAACAAAACAGGATTTCAATGTGGAGATTTGTTGGAACTGAGTGATTTCAAGGTAATATCCAGGATTTTTCCTCATGAATATTCTTTTGTTTCAATTTCTAGGATCATTACCGGTTGACAGTTGTTGTAAAAGATCAGTCAATTGATGAACAACTGACGACAACTGGAACTATTGGTATTATTGTTCTAGATGTAAATGATAATCAACCTCAATTCTTAAAGCCTATTGGACTTTTAAATCCAAGTAAGTTGAATGATATTGGAAGGCAGTTCTTTTCTACACATAGCCCAGAATCTTCAGAGTTCAGTCTCTTGATTGTAACTATGATACTGTGAATTCTATAAGATACATAAAAGTGGAGTTGGTCGGAAGTTGATCTCATATCCACTTAAAAGCTTAGGAGTTGGTATTGTAAATAAGAAAATCAGATATACAGACTTATTGACACTGTTATTAGCGTTTAACCAAAATATGATGTTCACAGAAATGACACCTAGTAAATAGTGAAATAATCTATCCATAACTGCGTAATCTATAGAAAAAGGCGAAGATTGAGAATATCAGGTATTTTGTTCAGTAGAAGAGGAAGGTAAATGTAAGTCACGTATAGCGTTTTAATCCCGCCAATCCATAATAATGACCTTTTATTCCAAACAGATACTACTGATGATTATATGCTTCGGTTAGCTATTCCTTGCTGTCTTAAGCCTGATTGAAAAATGATCCAAATCCTGCAGTATAAGCGATGGTTGAGCTTGGTAGTCAAGATTGTTTCATCTCAAGCTATAATATAATATGATTATTCCTTTCCCAGACATGCATACAAGTTCCAAGTCAGCTTGTTCATCAAACTGACCAAACCAATTTAGGAATTCTCTAGTGTTAATGTTATTACTTGTATTATCCCATAGTTGAGTGAACGGAATTGATGCATCTCCATTGGAATATGGGCTTTTGTTCAGTTGCCTTAATATTACCTGTGTCTCAGTTATATATAGTGGCTACATGTAGTGGCTAGCAGTGGAGTTTAAGATATGCCTTTTGTCTTATTTGGGACGAGAAACAATGTTAAAATTAAACTTATGATACAAGAAGTGGCTATTACAAATCATTGGTCTACTGTATAACACTCTGGTGTTTGAAGCGGTCGGTTTTCAGTTCGAGTCCTAGCGAGAACAATATCACTCATTGGGAGGCAAGTACATCCAGCTGACAAGCCTTAATTGGGAGGAAATGTACATCCTGGATTCCACTACTAGCCGCTATCCATCATTAACTTGTTAGCTTTTAGGTGTCAGTTATGCTAATTAAAGCATAATTTGTAACTAAATCTTAAGTGTTAGTCGACTGTGTATTGCATCCTCACAGTGTCACTTATGCATCCGCAAACTGTAGTACTTTTAGTGTTAAAAGTCTCTTTCTCGATTGGAAACCGTAAATATTAGTTCAAAAGGAGTCAATGATCACGTACAAATAAACAAACTGTGAGTTAATTAGAAAGACATTTCTATGACAAGCTAATAACAGTAATATCATACAATTTATCTTCAAAAAAAGCTTTGATCACTTGTATTTAGCATTAGATTTAAACCTAAAGACAACCATTGTATTATTATTACTCAAAAGTTACTGGTTTTATAACCATTACTTACTGCAACATTTCATAGTTCTGTGTCTAAACTACTCAGACTGACCGCCTGTCTGCCTGGAATCGGGTATCTGAAGCAGAACCCTGAGGTCACAATGAATTCTCTCTTCAACTCAGTTACTTATTATGATTGAGGTAGATGATATGAGTGCAATCTGGCTTAAATGGTTGATTTTTTTTATTATTGTAGAATAAGAAGCTGATACCGTCTTTTGATATCTGAATACTACAAAATTACACACTTTCAACGGTACCATGACCTATTCATACGTTTCAATCTTCATGTAACATTTCAGGCGATTTGTTTAAGTGTCCATCTCTAATGCATCCATCAAGTTAGTTCACTGGTTACAAGACGATATCAACGTTGTCCTTTTGGTCACTAGATATACTACAGAGACCTGTAACTTGAAGTTACATCCAAAAAAAATGTTACTCAACAAGAATTCCCACACATCTTTGCATTAATTTCAGATTTAGACTCATCATGGAGTGACATCAGTTGGAGAAACATTAAAAACCAATAAGTTTTGATGTCAAGTAACCCCAATCATTTGATAACCTCTAAAAAGGTGTATTCGTAATTGGATAGTTAAAGTTTCGAAACATTTAAGAATCCAAGAGACTGTAGTTATAAACATGACTAAGTTAATTTCGACAGAGTCAACTTCAACCTAGTGATGTCCAGTCATACTGATTTATGCTAAGGTTTTCGTTCAAACAGATGAACCTTACAGTATGCTTGATCACAAAGATAATCAAGGATGCTTCACGATCAACAACACACAACTTCTGTAAGGACACATTGTCTCTAGATATAAGTTCTAGGTTTATAGAGAAGAGCAGTAGGGTAACAAGCTGGTAAATAAGGTAGTCTCTTACAAGAAATATGCTACTTTTGTTAACACCGGCTAAAAAATAATCAAGGTGATGAAAAAAGAACTCATTAACCTAGTGAATAACTCTCTGAAATTTGAAGCAGTCGGTCCTGGATTCAAGTCTTAGTGAGAACAACATCATGGGGTACAGGGGGATCCGGCTGACGAATCAATCCCATATAGGAGGAAACGGGATTCCTGAATTCGACAGCTGCCCACCATCCATCATTTAACATAGAGTCGAGAATACAGGCAGTATAAAGGCACAGTAATCATGGATAGTGGCTGACAGAGTAATCAAGGGTGCGCATTTCATCCTGCTTGTGACTCGTCAGTTGGATGTACCTGCATCCCAATGAGTGATGTTGCTCCTGCTGGGACTCGAATCGGGGACCGATCGCTTCAAACGCCAGGGCGTTGTCCACTACACCACCGAGCCGCGATAGCTATATCTTGTGCGACGAGTATAGTTTTAGTATAACTGTTTGTATTATACCGTCGTTGGTTGGACCGGATTGATCGATTTCTATTGATTGTTTGATGTTGCATGGTTCGGTGGTGTAGAAGATAACGTTCTGGCGTTTGAAGCGATTGGTCCCGAGTTCGGGCCCTGTGAAGAACAACATAACTCACTGGGAGGTAGGTACATTCAACTGAAGAGTCCCAAACAGGACGAAATGCTCATGTTGGATTCCACTGCTAGCCACTATCCATTACTACTGTAATTAGAACACAGGTAATATCGAGGCATACACACAGGAGCCAATGTACCAATACAGATCGGTCAATTCGGTCCATCCACCGACGGTATAATACAGTTATACTAAAAATATAGTAGGATCCCTATTGAAATCCATATTCCAATAGAGATGGATCAATTTGGTTCAGTCAACGACTGACAATTAGAAGTAATAACAAGAAATTCTCCTATTTTGTCAGTTGTTATGATTAGGTCAAGGACAAATTGAATAATGAATAATGCCTGATTGTTCTTCATTCGATGTTTGCAAACTGATTATTTATCTAGAATAGTTGGATAAATGAATTTTACATATATTTATTACCTTGTTTAGATAATTCTCAGTTAAGTGAATACCGACGAAATATGAATATTGGTGTCATACTCTATGATCAACCCTCAGAAGAAAGAAATTACAACAATTTCGAAGGTAATCAAAAACGTAATGATGAAGAGTATCAAAGTCCTATTTTGACTACACTAAGTCTTCCTACGACATCAAATACACAGTCTACACATATTGAACCAGTTATTCGTTTATCTGTATATGAGAAACCTGAACAAGTAATAAGTAAATTGTATGCAGAAGATCCAGATACTGGTGAGAATGGAGCTATAGTTTACTTACTTGAAGAATTCTTTGATTTGTCAGTAAATAAAATCAAACCAAATCCCTTGATTCGAGTTCATCCAGAAACTGGAGAGTTAATATTATTACGTCATATGATACCTATGGATTTAGGATATCATTTCTTTAAAGTCACTGCATCTGATCGTGGTCATCCTCAAATGAAAATGGATCAAAAGGTATTTCATAGAAATAAAAATGAAAGTTTTACATTATAAAAACCCTGATTATATTACGATTAATTTTGCTGTTTTTTTTTAAACATCTTTTTCAGATTTTATCACTTCTAGTCGAAGATATTCCAGCATCTGGAAACTTGGTACAAAATTCTTTATCATCCAGTTATTACATGAGCAATATAACTGGATTAGGTTTAGATGAATGGAGTTTCACTACTGGTAAAAATGTTCTAATCATCACAATTTTGTCGATTGTTTCAGGATTATTAGCAGCTATATTCATTACTGCTATTGTTTGTGTTATAAAACCATGTTCAAGAAATCGTCAAATAAATAGACATTTAAATGAAAGACATGATCGTTTAAGAAACCGACCACCAACTTATCCTGGAGGTTCAGAAACAAATGGAATTATGCTCAATGAAAATGGAACATTCCTTAATGGAACAATAGATCAGAGAGTTTATACAGTTTCTAATGATTCTCAACGGATTGACTTTCATAGACCTCCTGGTCCATTGAATGGTGAAATATATATGGATACATGGAGGCATCAATTTACAGAAAATGGGACAAATTATGGAAATATCTCTTATTCATACAATAGTCCATTAGGTGATTCAAGATGTCAACATTCTAATGATCAAGACTCTTCAATGAATTCAAATCATAGAACTCAAATAGATAAACATATGGTAGGTTAGTACATAAAACTCTTTGCTAAATCGCAGAATGGATCAACACATATTTGACCATCAAGTGGAAATCCAATTAATTTTCGACTTGTAGTCAATATCGTAGTATTACAGAATAAAGACACTTCAGTTACACAGATGGTTTCCTGGCAAAAGTGATTTATTCTTAACATTGAGCTATTTTAGAACATAACTTTCTTTGGTGTTGCTGTAAGTTCGAGTCCTAGCGGGAACAGCATCACTCATTAGGGAGCAAGTATATCCGGCTGATGAGTCCCTAAAAGGGCGAAATACGTGCACTGGATCCCACTACTAGCCACTATCTGTCATTAATAACTTTCATTACTTCATTTTTTAACCTGTAGTCATTTATCAAGCAACAGTACGTTGCAACCTATTCTATGAGCGATTCAGGACTTTTTTATACTGATAACCACTACTGCTTGGCTTAGTATCTCACTGTAGAATAGCTACTCGGAGTTAATCATGCCCAATCACGAGAAGTCTAACTTCACAAGCTTTTCATATGACACTTAACGTTTAATAGACAAGATACAAAACAGTTGAGAGGTTGTTGAGGATTGATTAGTTTCAAGCAGGTATTCATCATAGACTGATATTAGTCGAAGCAATGGACAGCTGTTCCCATCCAATTTGGAACTCTTCACCAGTACGCATCTATAAACGCGTCAGCATGACCAACATTCATTTCCACTGGCAAACATTTAACCTGATATCCGATTTGCTTGACGCTATATGTGATGGCCTCTCATTAGAACGCCGATAAAACCATCGTAAAGAATGTGACTAATATGGTCAGTCAAGTGCCTTCAGTTTTTCAATGGTTTTCTGAGTGATGTCAGTCTGAGATTGAATACCGCCTTGAGCTCGAAAAAATAGTTGTCTAATAAAGTAGGCTGGAGACACTTGACATTAGATAACAGTGATGTATAAGTCTACGGTTCGAACCCCGCTGGCGGTACAAGATTTGGGCTGCCCGATAGTAGTATCATTAGCTCTTACACAATAGGTGTGGCTCATTGTCCACTACACGGATGGGCACATGGTTACTGATTGGTTAACTATTTCCATTTTTTCACTCTTGTGATCATTTTAGGACTTAAATTCACATCATAAAAATCCAGTCAGCACTGGAGCGCTGCAACTTACTTATGAAAACTTGGATTGTCACCACCTTCGAGATATTCATTTCCCAGCTGAATTAATTTCAACCAATATATCACCTTCATTTGGAGAGAATGTTGAACCTGTGTCAGTTCGAGTACTTACTCCACAAATGAGTATTGACGGATTTAGTGAAACCAGTGATCAGATATTTCTACCACGATCCAATAAACTAACTGGTATTACTATTGGTTATTCTACTGACTCAAGAACCCCCGCTTCTAAAAGTGCCTTGCCTGCTTCGAATGTCAAACTTGACACAGTCAACGCATTCTGTGTTGCTAAACCTATACCAATTCCACCCAAAGTTATATGCAATTTAAGTGGAGATAAAATGGTAAGGAGTAGAAGAAAATAATAATCAATAATTGGGCATAAATAGTTTTGAAATTTGATTCTTTTTACGCAGACTACTGATTTGTTAGCTAGTAGGCAAATACGAAACGCTCAAAATGCAGTAAGATCTAGAATACATCAAACAGAATCATGGAAACATATTCATATCACAAATCATACAAAAAATTATATCCATACAAAGTGAACTTAAGAGAACGGTTACTTAGGAATCCAAATAGCCCAAAGGTAAAGTTGTAGTATACACAACAACAAAAGCCTTTATGATTAATTCCCTAAGGAAACACAAACCCTTGCTGGAGATGTTTTGGGAAAAACATTTATCAAACTGAAGTTGATATGTTAACAGAAAATAAGAAGACGTTAAACTGAAAACTCCTACAGCTTTCAATGAATACTAAAATGGTAAAACTTTAAGAGAGTTTTGATTGTGTAAATGCTGGTTGGGTATTTAAGTATCAATATAGATGAATACCTAGGTGACGTTTTTGACAACATCCAGTTCAGAAATGAAGAGGAACTAAAAGAAAAGCTGGCATTTTTAGATGTTCTGATCATTGAAAAGGTTTGCGAGAATTAGAAACTAGAGTATGCAGAAAACCAACTCATGCGGATCAAATCCTCAACTACAGTTGAAACTATCTGACAATGCAACACTATACAACATCAATCCTACGCAGAGAAGAAAAGAACTATTTCATAGCTGTTTTTCAGTAGAATGGCCAATCAACAAAATAGCGATCTCTAGAAAACAATAGGCGGATTATCTTACCATCCTTGTGGAACCTTTCTGAGATTGTAGCCTTCCTGAATTTTTGTAGATAATGAAACCTACAAAATCCTTTCACTCCACATCATGCAGACTAATAGACACAATAGTAGAAAAGTAAACTACAGAAACCAAGAATAACTCTATATTCGACAGATTTTCCACCCTCTTTATGTTTATCTACATGAATATCAATTAACGGTGAAGCGTCATCACATATCTTCGTTCATATCAATGTATTTAGACAAGTGTGGATATGAGATTGACTAGGAAAATGTAGAGATCATGGATAGAAAAAAATACGAAGAATGCTAGAGAATTTTTAGAAGTTTAGCATTCACATTAGTCAGCGATCAACAAACATATAAGAGATTACAAGAAGGTTAAAGTTCATGTTGGAAAGATAACCAGTCGAATAAGCATGGAGATAATGATAAGATTCTAGCAGAAACAACCATTTAGACAAAGATCATCAAGACAAGCTGTTAAGTCACTTGTAGAGAAAATCCTATACATCACTTTTTTTAAAGTTTGTGCTGATGATATAGTCTAGAATGACAGTAAAAACTTCATGATAATACCATCCAACTCAGAGAACACAAGAGCAAGAATAAGGGGTGCTTTTCTGTACTGTAAACTAGAAAAGTACACTTTTTAGTTTGGTAATGACGGTTATCGATTGGATCTAAGTTTAATCAGACGTTTTTCCTTAATACAATGAAACTTTCAGTGGTATTTAAGAACTACTGAATTCATAGATAGATACAAGGTTAAATACAGACCAACCAATCACAGGAAAATGTTCTCCGACATAAGTTTCATGCTTGTTGATTGGTACTTCTTTACAAAGTATATCTGAAAACTTGAAAAAAACTCATGTTCTTTTAAAAGTAGTTGAAAGATACGTCATTCATTTCTAACGTTAAATAAAATGAGAATAAGCGTCCCTGTAACACAATATACTGAAGTAATTTATTATCCGACTTAGTGGTCACATTCAGTATCGATTCATAGATCTCAATCAATACTTAGGATACGGTAACTCCATCATTCGTTTTCATTACGCAATGACCCCCCCCCCCCCCAATAGTGTTAGGGCTGAGAAATCTAAATGGCAGGCTAGACTTTGGTAAGTGGGACGGGTTTCACACCTGTGATCCATGCCTAGCTCAATGAGACACTGCTCCAAGTGACATTATTATTATTATTATTTGTCCCTTGGGTTCTTAGTGGAACATACAGCTTCAGTAGCACGTCGCCATTCCACTCTCTTCCTTGCAGTCTTTTAAACCTGGCTGCATGACTGCACAAAAGCTTTCATCTCTTCCGCACATGATCGCCTCCTTGTCACCATCGCCGCAGACGCCCAACTCGTCGTTTCCCATGGAGATTCCACTCGAGGGCCTGGCGCGTGATGTCCCCAAATGGTTTTCTCAGTGTATGCCCAATCCATCTCCACTTCCTTCTGCATATTTGTTCAGCGATAGGTTCATGGTTGCTTCGTTGCAGGGCTGGCCAGAGTTTCTTGTTGCTTATTATTTCTTGCCATCTGATCTTTAGTGTCAGTATCGAGTGAGCATACGCAGGAGCTGTTGATGAATGTCTATAGTTTGTTGGACATGCTTTACATGATGTACCAAGTTTCTGAACCATACAGAAGCACTGTCTTGACGTTGCTGTTGAAAATCCGGATGTTGTTCACCCTTTATGCTGAGTGGAGTGGAGTGCAGTCGATCTCCATACTGATTTCAGAGTAATGCAGGAAGGCCTGTATTGCTGTCTTTCCGATCATGGCTGCTTTGACATAGTCATCTGTGCCTATGCCGCCTGCATTTGAAACGATGCTGTCTGAAAAGGTAGGTAGCCAGGTGAAAGAGACAACTTCCTTTGGTTTACTCCCGTTGATGATGACTGGTGCTTGTTGTTGGTGGTGGTGGTTGGGTGTCTTCATCAACTCTGTCTTCTCTGCATTCACCTGAAAGGAGTCCCTTCTTCGCTGCCCTGCCTCACTTCTTCTGTCAACTTGTTGATTTTCACCTGTAGATCATCGAGTCTTTACGACTAGACATTAGACATAAGTCATCCACATTGGCGAAATCCAAATCTTCTAAGGTGTTTTCATCGGTCCAACGTATAGCCGTCTTCTCGCACCTCACTGTTTTCTGCATGATCCAGTCGACCTCAGTCAGGAAGATGATTGGTGATAGTAGGCGGCAACCTCCTCTTACTCCCTCCCGTCTTCATCTCAAAAGCATCAGTGAGTTGAGCTTTCCATTGTGAATCACTTGGCATGTGGCATCATCATATAGCTAGCATATAGCTTCTGTTGTTTGAGGTTGATAAAGGTTTGTGGCACTCGGTCTGTAGTGTTGAAGTAGCTGCCTGACAAATTACTTCTCGCTCAATACTGTCGAAGGCCTTTCCAAATCGATGAAGTTGAGGTTGAGAGTTGACTGCCATTGTATGCTCTGTTCTATGGTGATGCATAGAGTGGCGTTGTATTTTGATTCTTACATGATTTTTTCTTCCTGAAGCCAGCCAGCCAGCCAGCCACCTTGTTACGGTCGTAATTTCGAGTTGAGAGCATTGTTTAGTCTCTCCAGGATGAGGCAGCCTAATATTTTGCTTGGAGTGGGTGGACAGGAGTGGAGAGTGATTCCGCGCCAGTTCTCGTTCTAACAAAAACTGAAGTTGCCTTTCGTCGGGAGTTTGACAAGGTAGCCATTCTCCCAATCAATAAGGAGGTACCTTTCCTTCCTTCCTTCCTTTCTTCCTTTCTTCCCTCCAAACCTTCTGCAATAGTGGTGTGAGTATGTCCACTGTTGTCTCAGTGTCTGTTTTCAATGCTTCTGGAGGAATTCCATCTAGTCATGCTGCTTCCCCGGATTTCAGCAACTTTATGATGTTCAGGACTTCACTTCTGCTTCTGTCGGAGTGCTTGTATTCACCAGTAATTCTGTGGGTGGGCTTCTGGTGGTATTTGTGGACGAGTTGCAGGTGGTGGTGGTGGTGGTGGTCGATTCAAGAGCTTTTTGAAGTGGTCAGCCCATCGGTTCCTTTGTTTCTCCTCTCTGTTTGGTAACTAGCTTTCCCTCACCATCTTTCATTGGTTTCATCTGTGTTGTGTTGGTCTCTACCCTCTCAGATAGTAACCTGGTTATTTGATATAGTGTTGTCAGGTCTCTGTCTTCTCTTACCTGCAGCCTGTTCTGTTTGACTTGTCAGTGTGTCGTAGAAGTATCTTTTGTCTTTGTGCACACTCTCCTCTACTTCTTTGTCAGTGTAGCTTTTCATAGGTTGTGTTCAGTTCCTCTTTTCGTTGTTCATCCCTGCACTGCACTACACTTCACTGGTTCATCTTCTGCTTCATCATCTTACCCTTCTCTCCTCTTCTCTATCAGCTTCCATGTGTCCATCGAGATCTATTCCTTGTCTTACTTCTTCTTCCTTCCTAACAAGTTTATGCAGGTTTCTTTACACGTAGCTCTTAAAGAGTTTCAGTGTTCTTCCACACAGGTTCCTTCAGGGATGTTGCTTGATATCTTCCGTTTCGTCTCGATGGCTGACATGAACATGCCTCTTGTAGTTTCATCCTTCAGTTCAGTTTCTGTTCTGTGTATTGAACTTGAACTGTGGTCAATCACCAACTTCATTGAAGGCTTTCAACTTGATTGGGAAGGTAGGTTTCTTACACTAGATAGTGAGAGGTGTGCACCTACACCTGCTCCCATTCTTCATGTTGTGTCAAGTAGGCTACGCCTCCACCCTCTTCACATTGAGATGAATTCGATCTGATTTTTAGTGTAGTGTGTCCATCTGGTGAACTCGAATTCATGTGGTTTTGTGGATATCCTTGTGCTTGAACACACTGCCCCCAATCACCAAATCCTTGGGTGTACAGAATTCTGCAAACAATTCTCCATTCTCATTCATTTCACCGAGTGTTTGTCGACCTATGATGAGTTCTCTTTCTGTGTTGTCCGCTCCCAGTTTGGCATTCATGCCACCCTATGCATTAGAATGAATTTTGATATCACCAACTAGAGTTTTGTCCTGTATTGATCTCAGTTGTCTGTAGAATTCTTCCTTCTTCTCTTCATCTGCATTGTATGATTGTGACTTCCCTTCCTTTTGAGTTGAATCTTGCCGTCATGATCCTGACTCTGGAGGAGATTGGTTCGCACTGCATGACAGCCATCGATGCTGTTGGGAACATCATGATAGCCATTAGAAAACTCAGTGTGCTCATGGTTGTCGTCTGGGTGACAATATCGGAGTAGATTATTGACTCCTCTCCAGTTGACAGTTTAGAGAGTCCACTTCCATTCCATCTACCTTTGCAGATTTCTAGCACTTTTGATGAAATCGTTTATATAGCTGTACATTCGTAAGTATATAATTAAAGGCACAAGAACCTCCCGAATACTTCCGGTTGTATTGACCGTGACGTTTGATCCTTGCTTATTCTAGAAGTTCCACTCCCGTGACGTTTCACGGTAGTAGTCACCAGGGACTGACATCATTTGGAGAAGTACTGAAAAGCTGGGAACACTGGACAGCTATTTCGTTCTTTCATAGGACTCCTCTGCAATATGCTTTCATAGATGTCTACTGCTCCAACTTTTCCAGTGATTCTGCAGCCGATATCAGTCGGTGATGAATACTACCCTAAATTAAAGTCCCCATAAACCAGAAACTTCATGACTATGTGTTGCTCATTAGTAGTATGCTTTGAGATAGATATCCCGAACTTCTAATGAGAAGCCGTGACCCGTGTGTTCAACCGGCAGGAAGTAAAACGGAAGTCCACTGAATAACTCGGTAACAGTCACGCTATATCAAGAATTGACAGTGGTATGAAGCTGTGAATCACTGAGCTTCATCCCAGAAGTTAAATAGTTAACGCTTCCACCACGAGACCTGAAGGCTCAGAGTTCGATCGCCGACGAGGCAGGGTCGTGTATGCATACTACTGAGGAGCCCCACTCCAGGACGAAACAGTCGTCCAGTACTCGCAGTTATCCAACTGGTGTCAATCGATGGTGAGGTATGCATTTTTGAGTATAAAGCTATGAAATAAATTCATTGGCAGTGTAAGCTTTTTTCTGTCAAATATCTTTCTTTTAATGAAACATATGTAACCCCGTTGAAGTTTGTCCACTTCAATTTACCGTTGAGTTAAAAAGGTTGTTAGTAAAGTGATGTTGATCAGATTGTTTATAATGTTTTTTTTTTTGGAAATGAGCACTTTACTTGTATGTTTTTATATCAATTATTCAGAGTTCGGAAATAATGGAGAAGAGTATGAATTCCAATGAAATTGATTTGATAAATTCAGGGCTATCACCAATGAATGTTGTTATAGATGATATTGTTTCAAATTCTGGTTCAACAAAACATCAAGGACATCGTCTAGATACTACAATGCCTAGATTTGGTACACTTTATAATGTTATGACAGTTAATCAAAGACCGAATTCAATTGATGAACATGTTATTCGAGTTGAAGAACATGCATCTGATTCAGGTCGTGGTGGAAGTGATGAAGACTCGATTGTACAAAAACTAGACAGTAAATTGGTACAATCAAGCATTTCGAAGTTAAATTCGACAGAAGGTAACTGTCTTATTATATGTCTTCATCAAAGTAATTAAATTTCCAGTAGATAATGTTAATAACATCCTTTCACTTCTTAGGTGTGTAAAGAAGCTTAAGTATTTTTATAAAGTTAAATGTTGCATGTTGAATGTTTTCAAAATGGCTATCAGTATTAGTGAATAATTCTTGACAGAAAAGGCAGCGAAGACGGGACTTCAAGTGAACGTAGAGAAGACAGAGGTGATGAAGATACCCAACCAACAACACCAACAATAAACTCCAATCACCGTCAACAGGAGAAATCTAAAGGAAGTAGTCTCTTTCACACATCTAGGCAGCACTGTTTCAACTACAGGCGGCACAGGCACAGACGAGGATGTCAAAGTTGGAATCGGAAAGCAAGACAGGCTTTCATTAGCCTGAAACCAGTGTGGAGATCTTCTGCACTGCACTCAGCATGTGGAACAAGATTAGTCAGTGCTGCTATATGGTTCAGAAACTTGGCGCGTTACGAAAAGCACTTCCAACGAACTACAGACATTCATCAACAACTGCCTACATTGGCTCGTTACTGAAGCTCAGATGGCCAGAAAGAATCAGTAACAAGGAACTCACTGTGGCTGGCTGGCTGGCAACGAACCAACCATCAACAAATATGCAGGAGAAGGAAATGGAGATGGATTGGGCATGCAGTGAGAAGACCATTCGAGGACATGACGCGCCAGGCCAGGAACTCGAGTAGAACCCAGATGGGAAACGACGAGTTGGGCGTCCGTTGTGGGAGTGACATGGAGGAGATCGTGCGAGGAAGGAATGACAGCTTATGGGCTGTCGTGGAGCCAGGTTGAAAAGATTTCAGAGAAAAGAGTGGAATGGCGACGTACTACTGAATCCGTATGTTCCGTTAGGAACCCAAGGGATAATGATAATAATGAGTGAATAATTTAATTGTAAATTTTACCAAACAATAGTTTTGATACTGGGTGAAATTAAAATTACTATTACAGCTTGTAGGTTAGTTGGCAATGCACTGCCGTTGATAAACCCGGAAACCAATGATTCGATTCCTGTTGTGGTCTAGATTTTCATTTTCACCTTCAAATATCACTCAATATCAGCACAAATCTATCAAGCTATAGTTTTTTTCCAGACAGTCAAACTGGTAAACAGTTTTATAAACCAATATTACTGGCTCCAGAGGATAATTGATTAGAATTGAAAATAATTTCGAAGAAAAGTGTTTATAACTTTCCATCATGAGTAGTCAACATTTCGGTATGTTTAAGTCTTGCAGAAACTTCAGGTTGATATTCATCCCAAATCGATATCAGTTGGAAAACTAATGGGTACATGGGGGGTGATTCGCAGCCATTTCTCTTCCATGTCCTCGTCAGAGGCCAAATACAGAACCTTCAGATCCTGAGGCCAACATGTTACCACTGAACCACTGGGTTAGTATCCAGTCGTTCATGTTTCCTATTTCTGTCATGCAGAAGTTATCAGATCTTAGATGATCGGTCGATCATGCTTGAGATTTGTGGTAAGGATGAAACCTCGAAAAGAACTCTTTCTTTCAACTACGCGTTTTCAAGTACCGGTACGTCTGAAGAAGACAAACAAACGTGAAATGAGATGATGTCTAAGCGGTATGGTTAATCAGGTTTGAGCAAAATATCAGTAGAATCTTATGTTCATCACTTGCCATGTTGCTTAAATGTTGTTTAAAATGAAAGTTGGTGAAAAGTCTATTCAGAAAGATGAAGCTACTTAGCGTAAAGGTCAAATTCAGTGAACGAAACAAGATTGATGGTAAACTTTAGCCTGTGCCGGCAAGTTAACTGACCACATGCCAACATATCGGTAGCGGTTAGATTCTATGAGTTATTTCTTGCAGGTCACATATAATATCAGTAGGGTTCCCTTTGGAAACTCTTCAGAAAGCATCGTGACCAACGATAATTTTGGTTTTTAAGCCGCTTTTAAATCTCTGGTACTGACCAACCTCTGTTGGACGATTTAGGCAGTAAACTAAGTGATATATAGCCGTTTGACGTTAGACTTTAAAAGTCAATCGAAAGCAAACTCTATTTGGTGTTGTTTTTCTCTTGAGAAGACTCATATTTTTTCTTTGCTTGAAACTATGTCATTCAGTTCAATAGTCAAAGGGTCAAATGTTTCAACTAAGTAGATGACTAGGCTTTTCAGGACTGGATTATGCACACGAGATAATCATTGTGTTGTTTCCATAAAGCTGGATGATGAGTACTGCTAAGCATGAAATACAGACTTAAAGGTTCCAAAAGAGTAATCCCTAAGTGAAACAGTAAACAAGTAATGTTCGTTTGTAATGATCAGTCGCTGATACGTTTTCATCTAGTCTGTAGGTAGGTACGTTGTTGTAGGCCAGCGCGTAGAGCAATGTGAGTTTGGTGGTGACCAGAAGAATCTGTAAGGGAAAACAGGAAGAGAAAAAGGTGAGCCAATGACTCAGCAAGTACAATTTCTCTTGGGTATAGCAGTTATGAGTTCGAATTTCGATAAACAGAACTAACGTTTGGCAATTGTTTCATTGTGACACACATAGTCATGTAAGTCAGTCCTAACAGATGATTTCCAATGTTTCATATCCCTATTTAGTATGTCCTCTTATCCTACTTATTATAAATTCTATGAACTAAGCTATTTCTTTAATTAATTCCTTTGTCGTTCTATAGGAACCACTATATGGAATGAATCTTCCGCTGGTTGTGAATCATCGCCAAATTTTTTCATTCAAGTGATAATCCAGATAATGTAATTCTAGCTAATCCATGGTTTGTATCAGATTCAATGAGATCAAAATATCCGGACAATCACTGTTCTTATCTATCTACTTCGTGATAAAATGAATTTAATAAAACCATTTACTGGGAACTAAAGCAAAGCATACCAATTCATTATTACTACTACTACTACCATATGTTTACTATTTCTAGACTTTGGATAACTTTCTCACCTCTTTCATCTATCATTTTTATTATTTGTAACAACTGTAACCGTAAGCATTTACTTCTGTCTGAACTGTATGAAACTGGAATGATTTCCCTTTTCTGAAACAGATAGATGCTTATCTGTAGACGGTCTAATTCTACTACTTCTCACCATTTCTGTATTCTTCTATCGGTTATCTTTTTATTTGTATATAAATAATTGAGACAAAACGAATTATTCACATTCCTTAAGAAGTTATTTCTTCGAAAGATGTTCAGTTGTTATTTTTTCTTCAAATATGCTTGTTGTTTTCATTCATTAATGACTGAAGTTTTAACTTGTTTTGTTACAATATGTTTTAGTTAGTTCAATGTTCTTCTGATAGGTAACCGTATTCCCTTTCAACCCAATAACAAAGATATCTCTGGATATCTAATCGTTTGTCTCATCAAACTTCCTTCTTTACATTACAATAGTTTGTCCTTTATGATCGAAAGGAATGAAATAACATTGTTGACATCTCTCCTGCTCTCTTTCACTCACTCACTCACTCACTCACTCACTCACTCACTCACTCACTCACTCACTCACTCACTCACTCACTCACTCACTCACTCACTCACTCACTCACTCACTCACTCACTCACTCACTCACTCACTCACTCACTCACTCACTCACTCACTCACTTCCTCTTTATCCTTCTCTCTCCTACTCTATCAAATGGTAAATATTATTGGTATTCAGTGTTACTAGTGAAGTTTCCTCATTTTAATTGCCACTTTAATTGTTTCTTAGTTTTGTTAATGAATATGATCAACTTTTGAAAATAATATCTAGTTGTACCCACAATATCGCATTTTGTACAAAAATGATTCATCCTACCCAGTCAACTCATTATACAGTGACCTATTTCAGAGTGTATAATGTGTGACAGTGAAATTCAAATGCATTCCATTCTATACTACTTATGAGTAGTGTTTCAAATTCTAAGAAAATCCTTTCAAACATTAGATGGAAAACTAGATTTTTTGTTGTCTAGAATGTTAAGAAAGTTGACCGGAAAATCAATGATATATTCTTAGATTCCATAGCCTCAGTGTAATTGCTACTGATGCGAATTGCTGCTCCAGGACTGGTCTTCAGCGGTGCCGTGGCTAACAATAGAAAGTGAAGTGATCGAGTGTGTTGACCACTTCACTTACCTCGGAAGTAGGACCAACCCTGGTGGGTCGGTTGCCGATGAAATCTCTACACGGATACAAAAGGCTCGATTGGCTTTTGACAATTTACGTCATCTATGGCGCCACCCTGATATCCGTTTGTCTACCAAGGGTCGTGTGTACTGCACAGCAGTCCGCTCTCTTCTACTGTATGGCTGTGAAACATGGCCATTGAAAGTGGAGGATATAAGAAGGCTTCAAGTGTTTGACCACCGTTACCTTCGTAGTATAGGACGTATTCCACGGTGTCACCACGTGAGTAATGCAGAAGTTAGGTGTAGAGTTTTAGGGAGTATAGGTAAATCAGTTGACGAGGTTATGAACCTTCATCGATTAAGATGGTTGGGACATTTACTACGTGTGCCTAGTCACCGATTGCCTCGTCACACAATATTGGCTGAAGTAGGTTCAGGCTGAAAAAAGGCCGGAGGTGGCCAGACTAAAACATGGCACAAATGTATGAAGTCTCTGAATGTTGGTTTGAGCCATGTGGGGTGATGCAGACTAGGTGGTTGGGGTCGGTGGGGGACAAGAAGAACCAGTGGTTGGAGACTCTAGGTGATATGGCTCAGAACCGATATCAGTGGTGCAGATGTATACACACACTATCGTTATCTTAACGATGCTATACCGAATCTCACCAATTTCTCGTTCTTCTTTTCTCTCTTTCAGTACTTTGTATTTCTTTTGACTGCATTCTCTTATCTTCATCCTTCACCTCACCACCTTTCTACTTGATTTACTGATATGAGGTGTGGCAACTTAAATCGTTAGGCAGTAATGCCTGGTCTTATGTTGATACTGACTGATTTGCTACTGATCGGTGTTGATTAATCAATCTTCCGGTAAGTGAACGTGGTTCCTAGCTTTACGAATGTCCTTCTCACGGGAGCTATGTGTTTTCTATGTAATTTCACTGAAAATAGTAATTTCCACTTGAGTATCCCAAAGCATCACTCGAAAGAATGACTTCTAAGATGTAATTTCAGTGAGTAGTTAAAATTCCACAATAAGCTGTTGAAAAAAAGGATAGGGTCACTATGATGTAACCACTTAGACCGCTACTGGCTGATTGCTTGTGGCAAACTTACAGAATAGTATGTTCCACTTAACAACTGGTAGTTTTCACCTACATAAAAGATATGTGGGTGATACATTCATCACATCTGATCAAAATACAGATATTGGAACTATAGTCAACCTTATATCCGAATCTGATAACTCAGGACTTCGTGGTTGTATTGTGTTCTGAAGTTAGTGCTGATGAGGTCGTCTAGAAGCGAGACGAAGAAAGCTTCACGATTAAACAACCCAGCTCAGTGAATACAATACAACCAAGACCATCTGCCTGAGCTCCAAATATTCTCCATTATTTCAAAACTCAGAACTTCATTTTTTTCGATATCTTATTGAAACAGAGACTAGATGGTATGAATTTCCACAGCTGGATGCTCCCCGGTAGAAGAAGGAATGTGATTCATCCTTTGTCATCACAAATCAAAAGAATCTGTAGACGTTACACTATAGATAATAAACCACAAAATTCTGAAAATTCTCATATAAAATCGACACCCTTCAAGATTTATTGAGAGAAAGAAACTCGGAATTAAAAGAGAATATGGATTAAGTACTCACAGCTTCGAAGAAGACTTTATTTGTGAATGTTCGTTTCAAAAATGATACAGCAGCAAAGATCATAGAAACATTGGCTGTTCATATCACTGAAGAAGATATTCTTCTTTGAGAAGCTGGAGATCAGCTTCACTAGTCAGCAAGTGGTTCCAGGGTCCATGGTCACTTTAATGTGCCTACAAATTATTTACTCTTATGGAGTTAGTTATATTGGCTATATAGAGTGCACGCATTTCAAACGTATACCTGAGTGCTGTACTACATGTTTATCGATAGGAAAATGTAACTCAATTGTCACTTCAATTCTTGAACATTTAGTTAACTTCAAATATATAGCTCCACCAGAGTCCTTCTTCAGTGTCAGTTACAGGGTCAAAGAGAATAGTTCAAAAGGAAGTAGGCTTTCAACAGTTGTGCACCATGACAGAAGCATTGGCAACTGGTCAGTTCAAACTCAATCTTTGTGTGCAGAAGAAGTATCTTTAATCTCTTATCTTACCATGGTCCTAACACATTCACTATATTTTAGATTTCATTATAATTAGTTAATCTACTATTATCAACTTCATTATGATCCTTGTTTCTTTTTTCACCTTCTTTATACCTGTCAAGTGGACACTCAATCTTTGTACTGCACATCTACCAACAGTCTTCATCTTGTGAAACTCTTTGCTTTTCTCATTGTTTCCATTGTCTAAAAGATTATTACGCAACTCCTTCCCAATTCTGATTTCTGTCTTAACACTGACTTACTGATGCAACTGTCTCCTATTGTTCAATAATAGACGGGGTCATGGGTGCGTGCTGCCGAGGAGTCCATACTAGTCGGATGAGACAGCTGTCCAGTGCTCTCAGGTTTCCTTTGTTCCTCCAACTGATGTCAGTCTACAATGAATAACAACTTGAAATATTTCTAAATCCCCCAAACTCCCTCAAAATTCAATTCAACTGGGGCTCATTGGTGACTAGCTTCGAGAGGTATTTCTGAAGTTCCGATGAGAAGTCATGACCGGTGGGGGCAAAGCCTGATGCTCGTGAGGACAGTTACTCAACGATGACATTTGGTGGCAGTTGCGCTATATCGTGAGCTAACAGAAGTTGGAATTATGGACAATTGGATTCTGACCCAGTGGCTAGCTCAATGGTAACGTGATGGCCACGGAACCTGGAGGCCACGGGTTTGACTCCTTGTGGTGCGGGGTCGGGGATGCGCACTGTCGAGAAGTCCCATAGTAGTCGGACGAAACAGCTACCCAGTGCTCCCAGATAGGTTTCCTTTGTTCCTCCAACTGATGTCAGTCTACAGTGAATAACAACTTGAAATATTTCCAAATCCCACAACTCCCTCAAAATTCAATGATAAACTGTTATATTTAGTTGAATGGGGCTAGTAGGTAGGAAACTTTGGAACTAGGTTTTTGCTTTTTGATACTTATCAGGAAGGTTTGTCTGCCTGGTTGTCATTTTATGAAAGTCATCAATAGAATGCTTCCACGACTTAGGACTAGATAAACTCGAATAATAACTTATATCCGAAGAACAAGAACAGGCTGACTTAATATTCTAGCTTAGTGAATAACCCCTTGATATTTGGAGTTGTTTTTACAAAGTTTTAGCCCCAGTGACAACTTCAACATCAGACTACTGGAATTTGATTACATTTAGTTGAACACATTGGTTTCCGATGCCAATTCGACTATTGAACTCAGTTTGTTATAAATACTACTGTAGCATAAATTATCCTCCAAAAACCTCGAAAAATGAATTATTTTCTTCTGTTCATTGGAAACATACTTTGACATGGATTACCCGAAGTTCTAATGAAAAGCCCACACCAGTAGGATCAACCAAGTCAGGTATAAGAGAAAATACGAAATATTGCATTCTGATCCAGTGACTAAATGTTTATCTAACTGATGTCAGCCTGTTAGTATAATTGTTTTTATATGATACCGTCGTTGATTGGAGCGAATTGATCAGTCTCTATTGGCATATAGGATCCTGTGCGGATGCCTCGATATTATCAGTGCTTTAATGGTAGTAATGATGGGTAATGACTAGCAGTAGAATCCAGGATACCCATTTCGTCCTATTTGGGACTCATCAGCTGGATGTAACTGCTTCCCGGGAAGTGATGTTGTTCCCATCGGGACGACAGACTGAATACTACTCTGAAAATTGTCATTTTCTACAAATCTCCAAATTGAATGAGATAATAACCAAACTTTAAACTGCGCATACTGTAGATCATCAAATAAATAACAATGTTACTTTCTTTTGACACGATTTTAGCTGATAAATCAGCTTCACATACTATTTGTTGACAAGCTATAAACATATGTTCTCACAGGATAATACTAGTTGATATCGGTCTGGTTTAACCAGCTGATGAAGGATGAAAAACAATTATCCAACCTACAAAGCAGAGTTCTATCAGGACAAAAGTACTCTGTCATTGCAAATATTTACTTAAAAAGAGGATTTGTTACACTTATCCACTACCTGGTAATTAATGGATGAAACATGGGGACATTGGAAGAGAAGCTCAAACGATATTCTGATTGGACCCACTGTTACCGATTTGATATGATCTATCCACAACATATATGTCTAAAAAGGTTATTTCATCAAATCAGATTTTAATGAAAGACCGAGTAAAATTTGTTTGATTATCACTGCAAAATCCATGAAAGGCCTTCTTATCTCTCACTTACAGATTTGTAAGATGTGATGGATGATTCCCCTAGGGTAATATTAGGAACTGTTAGTCTGACGTAAGAGATTTCAGGCACTATGTAACCTTAAGTAGTAGTCCAGGTGATGTTTACTTCACGTAACACATGAAGTTAGTTGATCAGCAAAAAGGCTCTGCAAGAAGTTAAGCTTTGGTTAAGCCGATTTGAGCATCAGTGTTTCAGAATTATCAGTTGACCATCACCACTCTCTGGGGTGAGGAAACATCTAATAGATGAGTCGCAAAACACAACGAAAAGTACTTTCCGGTTCCCATTGATAGACATCATCAGTCAAGAAACATCAAACAAACTACGCCCTATCTGGTATGAAGCCTTCGATTTCATCGACAAACCATAGCGAAAATGTCATAGTTAT